GATGACATGGTTATTATTCATTTTGGAAATCGTTTCATATGTTGTGGTTCATTACTTGGCGATTTGTATGTGCTCAAACCAAACTCTCCCACAGTGCAACATAATGAATTGAATAATGTCATAACTACATCTAATAAGAGGAAGGAGTCTTCGCAGATGAATCAAGCATATCTGTGGCACCTTAGACTTGGGCACATCAACCTTAGGAGGATTCAAAAGTTAGTGGCCAGTGGACATCTCGGTCCACTGGAAGAGCTCTATCCAACTTGTGAATCCTGCCTGGAAGGTAAGATGGCCAAGAGGCCGTTTACGGCAAAGGGGCATATGAGCCAAGAAGTGCTAGGATTGATTCATTCTGATTTGTGTGGTCTTATGTCGATCCAGGCTAGAGGAGGTTTCGAGTACTGTGTGTCTTTCATAGATGATTACTCGAGATTTGGGTAAGTTTATCTGTTGCACCGCAAGTCCGAATGCTTTGAGAAATTTAAGGAGTATCGGGCAGTTGTGGAGAAGCTTCATGGTAAATGTATCAAGTCACTTCGTTCTGATCAAGATGGCGAATACCTCTTTGGAGATTTCAGGACATACTTATCGGAAGCTGGGATTGAATCCCAACTAACTGCACCCGGCACGCCCCAGCAGAATGGGGTTGCAGAGCGAAGAAATAGGACTCTTATGGAGATGGTTAGGTCTATGATGAGTTATTCGAGGTTACCAGATTCGTTCTGGGGTTTGGCATTGGAAACAACATCGTATATTCTGAACATGGTTCCATCGAAGTCAATTGACACTACCCCTTATGAGATGTGGAAAGGGCGCAAGCCCAGTTTCTCACAGTTTCGAGCTTAGGGTAGTCCTGCACACGTGTTAGTGCAGGAACCTGACAAGTTGGAGAAATGTTCGGAAGCACGAGTTTTCGTAGGCTATCCCAAGGGAACGAAAGGTTGATTATTTTATAGTCCTGAGGATCAGAAGGTGATCGTTTCGACGAACGCTAGATCCTTGGAAGAAGACTATATTATGAATCATAAGCCCGCGAGTAGACTAGTCTTAGAGGAGTTAAGGGGTGAAATCGATGGTTCCCCACCGAGTGCGCAAGTAGATACATCATATAATACTGCAACACGACACAATGAGAGTGTACCAGTGCAGACAGTGCCTCGTCGCAGTGGGAGAGTTTCTCATTTACCCGACCGATGGATAGGTCTTGGAGAGTCATCGAACTCAGTTCCAGGAGGCCTAGAATCGGACCCAAGAACTTACGATGAGGCACTCCAAGATAAAGATGCAGATTCATGGAATGTTGCAATGAAAGCTGAAATGGGGTCAATGGACTCCAATCAGGTCTGGGATCTTGTAGAACCACCCGATGGGGTACGACCCATTGGATGTAAGTGGATCTATAAGAGAAAGAGAGGATTGGATGGGAAGGTGCAAACCTTTAAAGCTAGGCTTGTTGCGAAAGGTTATACCCAGATCGAGGGTATTGATTATGATGAGACCTTTTCGCCAGTAGCTATGCTTAAGTCCATTCGGATTCTCTTGGCTGTAGCCGCTCATATGGACTATGAGGTCTGGCAGATGGATGTCAAGACAGCTTTCCTTAATGGGAACCTGCAAGAAGACATCTATATGCAGCAACCAGAGGGATTCATTGCTGAAGGTCGTGAGCATCTAGTGTGTAAGCTTAATCGGTCTATTTATGGACTGAAGCAAGCTTCGAGATCTTGGAACATCCGTTTTGATGAGGTGATCCAGTCGTACGGGTTCACTCAATGTCCGGATGAGCACTGTGTTTACAAGAAAATCAGTGGGAGCGTGGTGGTGTTTCTTGTGTTTTACGTAGATGACATACTGCTTATTGAAAACAGTAAGAAGGAGTTGTCAGACGTAAAGGTGTGGTTGTCTAAGCAGTTTGATATGAAGGACTTAGGTGAAGCAGGACACATTCTTGGTATTAGGCTAATTAGAGACCGTAAAAAGAGAATGTTCTGCTTATCCCAGTCTTCATACATAGATACTGTCTTGGCCAGATTCAGCATGCAGGATTCCAAGAAAGGTATGTTACCTTTCAGACATGGAATACCTCTATCTAAGGAGATGTCTCCTAAGACGTCTAAGGAGATAGAGGAGATGAAGACAGTTCATTATGCTTCGGCAGTAGGAAGTCTCATGTATGCAATGCTGTGCACTAGGCCAGATATTAGCTACGCCGTTGGCATGGTAGCTAGATATCAAAGTAATCCGAGACGGGAACATTGGTCTGCGGTGAAGCATATACTCAAGTACCTGAGAAGGACTAAGGAGTACATGTTAGTTTACCGTGCAGGCAGCTTGTTACCTTTAGGTTACAGTGATTCTGATTTCCAGTTAGATAGGGATGAAAGTAAGTCAACCTCAGGTTATGTGTTTACCTTGGGAAGTGGAGCCATTTCATGGAGGAGTGCTAAGCAGAAATGCGTGGCAGACTCCACCATGGAAGCCAAGTACATAGCAGCCTCAGAGGCAGCGAAAGAGGCAGTTTGGCTCAGGAACTTCGTAGTTGACTTAGAGGTTATACCGAGTTTGCCACGAGGTATCACCGTGTACTATGATAACAGTGGAGCAGTAGCGAACTCAAAAGAACCTCGAGCCCACAGGGCAAGCAAACACATAGAGCGCAAATACCATCTGATTAGAGATATCGTTGGTAGAGGAGACGTTGATGTTGCCAAGATTGCATCAGAGGACAACCTAGCTGATCCTTTCACGAAGAGTTTGCCCGGGAAGGTCTTCGTCAAAAACGTGGAAGGAATGGGAGTCATGAGCATGGCAATAGGATCGACATAGGTCTTTTAGAATACATATTGATAGGACTATACTGTAAAAGCGAAAGCTTTAAGTATAAGTGGGAGATTGTTAGTGTTATATACTGAAAGCTTGGCTTTGCATGTTATTACATATTTACCCTTTATGAATGAGAATCATGTTAGATTAAACAAGTTCTACGTTCTGTTGTTCTGCACTTAGATAGGGTGGGACGTCATCGGGCGAACCGAAGATCACTCTATCAGTCACTTGCGAACAAGAATAGTTGTTCACAACCTAGATGGACATGAACACCCCATCCGAACGGTTGTAGTGTCAACTGTACAGTTTGTCTTGACTGATTAGTTGCACTAGTACATTTACGTATTGAACAGGATCCCAGAGAGGAGAAGTTCATTTTATACTGATCGTCGTAAATGAACTAGGCCTCGGTTAATTACTGCGTTCTCTTAACCCGTAAGATATTAAACAGGCAGATATATATAATATATATTACTTTGATTCAATGGGTGAGGTTCAGTTCGCTGGATTAATATTCCTACTGTTTTGGGTAATATTATTATATATAGGATGTGCTGTTAGGATATTTACGGTCACCATGTGCGTTAGTTTGATGATGTCCCCAGAGTGAGTTCATGAAGGATTGTTATGCTAAACCCTGCAAGTGGATTAATTTCCGGCATAATAAGAATGTGATGAACGAGCGCTAGCTTCGGTGAAATAATAATAAATTAATTAATTCTTGATTGTCAGTAATCGAATTAATTAATGGACATTATAGCTTAAACGTGGGGAGGTAAATCGAGTAATTATTATTGGAGTCTCAAATGTAATTTGGGCTAGGAAAAGGAAGTGCAATAATATAATGTTGGTGGCCCATTAATATTATTTAATTAATTAGAGGAGTGGGCTTGGGCCACAGTTAGTCTAATAAATTAAGGAGCCTTTTTCCTAATCTCGTAAGGGTCCCTACTGTAACTCTATATATACATCATTAAGCTCATGAAAAGAGAACAGAATTATTATTCTAACATGAGACATCCCACGCCTCTCTCTCTCTCTAGATCTCATTCGAGCTTTATCTTCTTCTTGTTGCTCCACTGGTACAAGTAGAAGAAGGGTGTATTAAGTAATACAGTAGAAGATCAGTAGGTAAATCGAGACAAAATATATTTTGACCTACAGAACTAACCGGAAGTCCGATTGAGACGTACAGCATACCCAGACGACCGTCTCTATGAGAGCTTTCGATCGCCATGGAGATCGCCGGAATTCGACGTCACACGCACTCTCACGCACCGCCGGAAGCTCCGAGGCTGCAAAGTTTTGTTTTGATATGTTTGCATCCGTTTGATCCGATTTTGATCTGATCTTGTTCGTGCAACCCAAGACGTGATTTGCGGTTGCGGTCAACCGTTCGTGGGTCAACCAGATCTACATAAATTTTAAGCCGTAAGTTCTCTACGTCAAACCTTTAGATCCGCTGCGCATAGGTTTACGTTTGCTATTGAATTCGTGACTTGTACATAACGAGATCCTCCCAGATCCCAACAAGAGGGTCCACAGCAAACCATCTGTTTTTAAATCCCAATTTATGACACACAATTTTCACAAAATCCTTATTCTTATGGGTTTCAGAAATAAAAATAAAACTTGGATGGTGGATTCTAGAATAATCCTTGATCTGGGTAACTGTAGAGGGTCCACTCAAACCTCTACAATTCTATATGATCATCTTCACTTGGAAACTCGGGGCCAATTTAGGCTGGCTTCCTCCACCTCACTATTCAGATCTTTTAGTTTTTTTCGATTTTTTGGATTTAGATAAACATGGTCCACCATCTTCCCCCTCTGATTCACTCTCAAGCTTCATCTTTCTTTTAGTGTTGTCAACCCCCCTTGGAGGAATTTGAATTGCCATCTCTCTTTTCAATCTTCCTTCTTCCATTGGTCTTCTAGTCCATCCCTTTCTTTTAGAAGGGGCCTGAGTTTCCTTGTTTGCTTGAAGATTTTCTACAATCATATCTTCCTTTTGAGAATAACCTTCCTCTGGTATACTGACCAACTCCTGTTAAAAAGCTGACTCCCTAACTGGAGTTAGTTGTTTTACTTCTGAGCCAGAGCTGGGGTCAAAGCTAGGCTAGTTTGACTTTTCACTGTTCACCGATCATTGTTATAGCTAAGGGTTGCTCTTACTGAGACTGATCTAGTACCATGTGATCCCTATCCTCACCCATGACTCCTTGGTCGGTATCCTCATTCTCGAAGATTGTCTGATTTCTGCTTTCTGAAGAGAGATTAACTTGATGTGTTTTTCCTTCCTCATGTTGCTGGTTTAAGTTCTGAGAAGGAGATTCATTTAAATTGCTGGTAGGACTCTCAGTGGAAATCGATCTTAACCCATAATTTCCTTCTTGGGCTTTCAACCAATCACCAAATTGTCCTTCCTCAAGAGAATTATTTTTCAATGTCACTCATCCTTTTTCACAGGATAGATATCCTATAATCCTACAGTAGCGGCAGAGGTTCACAAGTTTTTCATACTGAATAACTTGCAGTTACTTGTTAGTTATTGAGTTTTAAATTCACTAGCCTGGGGAGAGGTTTGGAGACATTTACTACCACCAAAATCCTGAGAAAACTTCCTCTGCCTTTACCACCACTACATTTAGAGTTTTCAAAAATATTTGTCCAATTCTGATGCCAACAATCGAGCAAAGCCAATTTAGGGGTAGGTTACTCACCTGTATCTACATCTTCAGTTCCTTGAATCCTGGATGAGTTTCACTAAGCCCTTCCTCCCAATCCCTTAGAACAGTTACTGGTTTTCAAATAACCAATGGCTTCCAGCAACAACTTTTTTCTTATCATTTAGACTTTCAAAAATAAATTGAAAATAGTTTGTCTTCAATTAACGCACCTCTACTTGATTCTGAATTTGCAAAATCAGTCCCATGGCTCACTTGAATCCTGACAAATGAGCTTTATGTCCCCTATCACTTTGCCAAACAGACTCGTTTGACATTCCTCCACACTGAGACGGATATCTGCCTCCTTTAACTCCAGCACCTGGTTTTCAGTTTGAGACAAAGCTATCTTCTTTAATCTGTTGCTCAATTCTTCCTGGAACCCCACAGCAGTAGAGGCCCTCATCTTCGAAGTTTCCATCAAGACCCGAAATATGTAACCCTGAGAGCAGAACCCACAAAACTACACCTCAAAGACTATAACAAGGAACCCACCACAACAACCCTAATCTCTAGGAACGAAGTAACGACCCCCAGAAAAGTAATGAAACCCTATGAGTATCTCCTCTGAAAGAGAATTGAAAACCCCCATGGAGTAATCTTGTTTAAATCACTCTTCACAAGTTTGAGGGATTTGTTCCTTATCATCATCCCATGCTTGATGTTCAAGCACCAACTGCTGAAAATTCGAAAAATTCCAATGAGCTTGATTTCAAGAGATGACAACAGAAGATGCACTTTTACCAAACCACCTTAGGTTTGGTGAAGTACTTGAAGGATGCCCCCTCTGTTGTTGAAAATAAACGACCATTTAACTACGCGCTGATGCTTGGGGGCAAGGTTACTACCTTTGTTGAAAATATGTCCTAAACGTACTTGGCAACGAGTTATATAATGTGTATAACTCGATCGGTTCTGCCCAAGAGCTTTGGTGTGCTTTGGAGAAAAAGTACAAAACTGAATATGTCGAGGCGAAGAAATTCGTTGTCGATAAGTTTCTAGACTTCAAGATAGTTTACTCTAAGACCGTCATGTCTTAAGTGATATTTTCTATTCTGAAAAGTCTCAAACATCATGCAAAAGATCACTTCTCAAATCCGTTCAAGATTATCGGAGCTTAGAATTCTGAAGTGCTGCAATTTTTGAGACGTAGCCGTTGTATGTTTGGAAATGAATGGGTAAAAGTCTCAGTCCAAAACGTACGGTCTCAGAAAAACAATAACACCGAAAAGAGACTCCCCTCGCTTGCAATAGTGTTAACAAGTATCCGACATAGTAGAAGGCACTAAAAGACAAAATGGTCGGCATAAATAGCTCATTTCAGTCGGCTCGCAAAGGAGGTTAAGCCGGTGTCTGGGCAGAACATCCTCAACCTAGGTCGTAGAAAAAACACCGAAGAGTAATACACCAGAATTTTGAATGTTTTAAATTAAGTCTTTAAATGCTTGGATACAAGTTTTC